GATGCACTACTGTAACTACACCTACACCGCGGTCGGCCCTCCCCCCGAGAGGGCCGAAGCACAAAAAAACATTTCGACAACAAACAAACGCTGGTGGCAACAACAAAATCTGATCTGCGTTGTGGGAGCTTTCGCTACAACCCACTTCAAGCAAAAAAGGGTGAAGCACATGGATGGCGCGGGGGGGGCTACTACATCATCATTTGCGACGAGATTTCACGCACACTCGCTTCGAGCGGAGGGCTCTATCTACGTACAATACTACGTACGAGATTTTCTTGTACCCGTTTCGGTGTTGATCATTATAATGGCTCGGGGGGGGGGGTGATACGCAAGAGGAAAGGACGCTCTTTTCGCTTGCGCACAGAGGTGCCCATACAATTCTACAAAAACTAGAAGTATCTATCTACTTTCTTCGAAGTAATTCGAACTACTGCTGCTGCTGTTGTAGTGGTCAAGTTCATCGTCTTGTTATTTGTCTTTTTTGTTGCCTTCTACCAGCCACTCAACGTATTTTACAATATATATAGTGGTGTGGCCCGTACTGCTGCTGAACGGATCGAGCATTACTTGTAGAATATGCTACGAACTACGCAATCAGCAATAGAAAAGATATACCCTCATCCTCCTTGTGATCGGTGGCCAATTGGCCCAATTCCCAGCAACAGCACAGCAGTTCCTACCTCTAACGCCGCTGACAACGATCCATCCCGTCATCGGCGTGCGGGTGGCCGCGACATAATAACAAGAAACCGGGAATACACCGTGGAACACGCCAGTATATATACCACGTAATACGTTGACGGGTTACAAATGATGAGTGATTCCGTTCCATACTCTGCCGGGTCACCGTTGTTGCCACAAGACGCAAAATAAATTCCCTAACGACGCCGCCTCCATACAAAACGCCTCCGCACAGTGGAACGCCGTTCATCGAAAGAGCACGATTACCACAACAATAGTAACGAGTGCCTCCCCTAAACTAAATGATGCGCTTGACACCACCGACAATTTGCCATATATATACAAACATACTCAAAGCACCTCCGCCTCTCCCTCTCTTGCTGCCACGTGTCAATGAAGACAGCAGGGATATAATATGTTGCCACACGTTGTATGCTACAATCGGGGAGAAGAGCCAGCCGTGACGGCGTGGTGGTGGCTCTGTGCCCCCCTCAAACACCATTAACACGCGACGGTGTCGGGGGGGGTCTCTGCCCTGCGAACGGCCGCGTTGCAAGCCCGCCGTGGCGCTCCTGCAGAGGAGTGCTTGGGCACCGCGACCACTCCTCCGTGCCATCGACGGTAACTAAACGACAACAGCTATGCATACTATGCCGACGCGCTATGCATGAACCACCCCGGCCCCCTACCAGAGCCGCCGCTGGTCGATCCCCTCTCTCTCCGCCTGGACGTCGGGGTGGTGATGTCCAGATACCGCCTCGCTCCGGGGAACTCCGGGGGGGCGGTGTTGCGCCGCAGCTCGAGGAGCAACGGGTGGTGCTTGCCCTGCTTCGCTCCCAGGTGCAGCAGCTGCGTCGCGTGTTCGCCGGGAGACTGCTCCGTGCCTGATGGACACACACCCGACGCCGCCGCTTCTGCCTTGAAGCGGTAGTCCCTGTACGATACGGTTAGCGCCCGCGTTTTTGTAAGAAGCGTTATTTTGGGGTCAACGCTCAATTTCAAGAACCACCGTCGAGCAAAGGTCATTTACATAGATTTTAGTGTAGGGTCCACGGCTGAGGAGTGTTCCGTAGTCCATTCGTCTTGCTTATCGCCACAAAATCTGAGCCTCCCTTTTTTTTTTCTCGGAAGTTTGTTTCTTAACGCGGGCGCTAGCTGGAACACACAGGGCACGAATGAACACACCCGGCAACGCAGCAGCGAACGTGAAGGGTAACCGGAGCAGGTGGGCTGCCCTCTCGAGAAGAAAGGGCAAGAAGAGAGACCCATTACAATAACCATGCAGCTGCATAGCTACTAAAACTTAGGTAGCGCTACGTCGCAACACGACAACGACGTGCTGTCGAGGCGCGTGAAAGAACTTCGAAGCGGTGGTATCATGTGGTAGTAGGGAACCAGCGCAGAGGACTGCGTGGGCTGCCCTCTCTCGAAGAAGGCAAAGAGAGGGACAGACTTATTCGCCAGACCAGAAACATGCAGCTGCAGAGCTACCTTCTATTTTAACCCTGCTTGCCGCCGTAACGCACGTCTCGTATCCCAGCAATGTCATGTAGCAGGCCTCTCGGTACCAAACTACAACCGTGACTTGGAAAAGACACACTAGATAGACAAGCACCACGAGTTTCGCCCGCAGGTAAAATATCGCCCCCTCCCCCCGCAAAAATTGTCTCAGGCAAGACCAACAATACAGCTTCTATCCCCTGGATCCCGTACTCTGTGCTGAGCGTATTGAGCATGACGACTTGTTTGGGAGGTTCGTCGGCGGATTGCGCCCAATAGTCCACAGCGAGGCCTCCGCTCGTCGATGTTTTCGTCCGACACGTGCCTATCAGGTACGATTCCGCGATGCCCCTCGTCAACACTACTACTGCTGGATGAAATTAATTGCGCCGCGGGTAGGAGTCGACGGCAACAATAGGGCAACCAAAGGTAGGCGTGATCTCGGAGTTCGCCCGGTTTGTACCCTAGGCCCTTCCGCAAGCGAGAGTTGCTGGGTCTGGGCAATGGAAATCGTTTCTGGTCACAAGCACAGGTACATTACCCTCGAGAACCTCAAGGCTGCGTGTGACAAATTATGTTATTTGTTAACTTTCTTTTTCTTAATACTTCGTTTAACTATAGAGGCCTATCTTTCATCCGCGGATGGAAGTATTTCGCATTTTTTCCTCCTGATCTCCGTAGATCTCGCCGTGCCGCCGCTTTTTGTTGGGGTTTCGGGTGGAGGTTGCGCTCCGACGGAAAAGGAGTCGCCACGATGATTTTTTTCTCCACATCGCACTCTACCGTGCAGCCGTTGCAAAAGGTACTACACTCACGTCGTCGCGAACTCCACCAACCCCAGATGCAGAGGAATATCGTTTCGAAAAAAAAACACAAACGCAACAAAACAAAAACACTTCAACTTCACAGGATCAAAACTAGTAACCCCACCTCCATTTCTCGGAAGAACTAGCTGTGCTGATGGTTGAATTGGTCGAGGGCGAGACGCCCTTCGCTGGCATGCGCGGGGTCATCGCCGCCGCCCTCGGAGCTACGGCCAGAGGCTCCGCCCCCGCCTGCAGTAGCTCCCTTATGACCTGTTATTGGCCGTGGGTTTCGCAACCGAACGAACGCACAACGTCGGCATTGAGCCTGGACGCCACATCACCCCTTCGACAGAGGCAAATAGGCTATATCTTGTTTCGCAACGGAACGCACGACGTTGGCGCTGAGTCGGGATGCTACATCACCCCTTCGACGATAGGGTGCGTATGGGTGTGTTCGACCTATCTGTTCTGGCGCCGGTGTACAGGCCTTTCGGCGTACATGTATACCAGACGTATCAGCCGGGGTCACACAGGAGCTTTTTTCACAAAAATGGTTTTGTTTAATTGCCCCACCTTTCCCCCTACGATATTGCTTTGGATATATCGCGCCAAGAGCAGACTTTGCCCAGGCGACAAAGATAGCTGTACGCACCCCACAGCCACACCCGCAAGCAAGGTCACGGTGGTACAAGGCCGGTGCACTGAGGGTAGAAAGAAACAACAAGCGTTCCCCTTCCTACCTTTCAAAAGTTGTTCTGCATGACCACCCACTACTAGCTGTTTTTGGCCAAGCGGGAACTACGATGCAACCATGGGATACATGGAACGGGGAACGTAGGTACTTCCTCGAGAGTAAACGTGTGTTGTGTTTGTTTACACGAACCCTTAACGGTGTCCGATGCCGTTGGCGGTGGTATTTTTGAAAACTTTGTTTGAAAACCATTTTTGTTTGTGGCGCAGCCTCCTGCATGATCCAGCGGCTCAAAAAAAGCCAGTCGGCTCCCAAATGGCCGTATGTTGCCCATTCTCCGGAAGCAAAGAGAACACTGTATAAATATTCGCTAGAAAAATATGCAAATATACATACACAAGCTCTGATTTGTTTATTTGCATGAGAATCTCCTTGACCATTTATCTTCATCCAACCTAACTACAGCATTGTACACTCCACCCACCCTTCAGGAGATATGACATGCGTGAAATAACGGACATACTGATGTGCAGGAGGAAGTACATTGTTGTAACGGCAGCAATTCACCATCGACCTGCGTCCCGGGAAGCAACAACGCTGGCGCCCCGTCTGCCGTAAGCCGTACGATACCTCATCATCCTTCGCCGAGCCACACTGTAAATCTCACGGGTTGCGCAGGCGCGTTCAAATATATATGTGTTGCCAATGACGCCTTTATCAATCGCGCACCAACATATGTATATACCGCCGCGTGTACATAAATACCACGACAAAATCGTATAGTACCTCGAAGCTTCCGCCCAGCCCGGCCAAAGACAACGGCGTCTCCCCCGCGTGCGTCACGACATTGGGGTCCGCTCCCGCCCGCAGGAGCTCTCTGCACGTTTAAATTTAAGCGCGCAAAAGTGAAGCGAGGTGCATCATTGATCTGAACCGCAAGCAAGCACTTGTGTGTCTGTGTGTCTGTCTGGCGGGTTGGGTTTGCGGCGAACGACAACCTGCGCGCAAGGTCCGTTTAAACTCGTTTTTGTGCGTTTCTTTCCTGTCCAGGGGTTGGAGACGCAAACGTCGCCACAAAGAAGAACGACCGCCTACTGCTGTACCCTGTGAGTGTTCAACCCGAAAAATCTTCGGGGAGTTAGGTATTGCGCCGGGGAGTGCACTAGCTTTGTGTAGAATGCGGCGGCGGTATGCGTGTGTGTGTTCTTAATGTTGGCATCGACCGCGCCAACCGGCTGACCAATGAAAAAATGTCAATCTCGTAGCGGGACAATAAACAAGAACAATCTCTAGTTAAAAAAAGACGTTAGTCTCGTAGCGGGACAATAAGCACGAACAATTTCCAGTTCAAAAAAGACGTCAGTCTCGTAGCGGGACAATAAACACGAACAAATTTCTAGTTCAAAGGGTTCTGCCGACAGGGGGCGGGAACGGACGCACGAGTTGGACGACTGCCAGAGTCCTTCTGAATTACCAACCATCAATAGTACCAGACAGCAATGTTGCAGCATCATGTCTGAAGTACCAATACTATCAGACAGCCATGGTGCTGCATCATGTCTGAAGTACCGATGCCATCGGACAACACCATTGTTGCTGCCGTCAGCATGTCCTTCTCCCACGCTTGCGCGCGTACCTGACGACGTCCCAGCGGCAGTCCTCCGCCGCGTCGTGGAGCAGGGTGCGGCCCAGGTCGTCCTGCTCGTTGGGGTCCGCCCCCGCCCGGAGCAGGTACTTTGCCGTCAGATCGTGCCCCCCCGCGCACGCTGCCGAGAGAGCCGTCCAGCCGCCGGTCATCTTGGCGGTCGTGTCGGCCCCGAGCTCGAGGAAGCTCCGAACCACGTCTGCAGCAGCAGCAGCAGCAGTAGCAGCAGCAGCAGCAGCAGCAGCAGCAGCAGCAGCAGAAAGAAAGATTGGGACGACAGAGAAAAGAATCACGAAGCAGCATGGCGAAGTAGATCGCGCGGCATTAGCATTAGCATTAGCATTAGCATTAGCAGCAGCATCAGCAGCAGTAGTAAGAAAGACTGGGACGACAGCTAAAAGACTCACGAAGCAGCAGCACCGGCGTATATCGCGGGGAATCGATCAGCAACGATGAGCCATATCCGAGACCAGCGTCGTGCCCGCTCTGGTTCACGATATCCGCCCATCTACATCCCCCAAGCGAACAAAACTCATCGCTCATGTGTGCATCTTGTCTGCTGTCTTTTTTCTTAATACACCACAATGAATCCGTCTCCATCGATACGCAAGCGTCAGGGATAAATTCGTAATAAATCCTTGGCGATCGCTACCGGAGCACTACTGTACCTTTGTTTCTACGATTGCCCAAGCAGCACACATCGATATCTCCCCTGTGGGTAACAGGCTCTGCAAGATAGCCATCTAGCGCATCTTTGAGTTGGCGCTTGCAGCGCCTCTGCCTGTGCAGGAGCTCCAAATGACTCTGTCACCCAAACGAAATGTACAGGCATCCTCACAGTACTCTCTAGTCCCCTTCCCCTGTATCGCATTCCGTCCAAGACACTCTTGAGCAAGGATATGTCTACACCCCCCTGTCTTCCCGTCGAAGAACAGAAGTACTGGTAATGTCTATTTCTAATCCGTGGCCACACAGAAGGGTCCTACCCTTGAGGCACCCTACCCACGGTGCTTGCTCTCGATTCATAACCAGAGCAGAGTGCAGCACTCTCTTTTCCCTCAACCCAAAAAGTAAAAAAAAACAACCAAAAACACAGCAACGGGCGGCAGCGGGCGCACCTGCGAAGCCGTTGCGGGAGGCCATGATAAGCGCGGTGCAGCCCTTATCGTTGCGGATGTCGAAATCCGCCCCCATGTCGAGCAGCTCTCTGACAATCTCCCCGTTTCCATCCGCGGCCGCCGTCATGAGAGCCGTCCAACCCTTGTCCCCCACGGCATCCACATCGGCGCCGGCCACCAGCAACGCTCGCACCACGTCTGAAGGATGGGTGACAACGTACAACACCATCGGGGGGAGGGGGGGCGTACTCTAACGTTTCGCGTGCCTTAGCGGCTACACCCTTGACCGCCAGTAATGCTCGCACCACGTGTGATGAATGGATGACAACCCACAACATCATTGGGGGTGGGGGTGGGGGGGCGTACTCATATTTATTTTTGCATGCCTTAGTCGTTAGACCAGGCGTGCTCGAGAGGACGGAGCGTTGTCCCCACAGGACCGACCACCGTTGGCAAATCGTTCCTTCCTACTTTGCCAAAGGTGCCTCAAAAACATGTTCCATCGGGGGGAGGGTAGGCTCAAAACAAAAACCTCAAGCATCCAAGTGTTGGAGTAGTACGGACAGAAGAAGATACTGGGTAGAACGAAACGTTTTTTTTTTATCTCAAGACAACAGCAGCAGCAACAACAGCAACAACAACAACAACAACCTCAAGCATCGATAGACCCAAAAGTACGCGTGACCTTCTCGTTAACAGGGGGCGGGGCTGGTAGTCTCATGAAACAAGACGCGAAAAATCGTGCGGCATTGTTTTCGATTCGCGTGCTGCTCAGGTCCCCGCTCTCATTCTGGCCCACCAGGATGTGCGCGACAACGCAGGAAGAACACAAAATATTCGCACGTAGTTGCTAACACAAAACAAACTGCAGCAGCAGCAGCAGCAGCAGCAGAAGAAGAAGAAGAAGAAGAAGAAGCAGCAGCAGCTGTCAACCACACCAAGCGCAGTTGTTGAACACAAAACAAACAGCAGCAGCAGCAGCAGCAGCAGCGGCGGCGGCCACCAACTATACACACCGGTGTGTCCCGCTTGCGACGCCATGTGCAGGGCGTTCCAGCCTTTCGACGTCCTCTCCGAAACGCTCGCCCCGGCCCCGATAAGCTGCCGTACGATCACCGAGTGCCCCCCCAACGCCGCTGCCAACAACGGTGTCCACAGCTTGTCCGAGAGCGGCGCCGAATTCACCCCCGCTCCCAGCAACTCCCAAACAACACCTGTGTGTGTGTGTGGGGGGGTGTACTCTTAGTCGTGCATGCCGTAGTCGTTAGACCATTGACCTCGCACCCCTACAAGGGCGGGTCGGAGCACGCTGGGTTCTGACTGGACCAGGCTCTGATCTGCAGCACCGCAGCACTAACACCAACGACAGCAACAATAACAACAGCAACAGCAACACCGCCAACAACAACACCAACACCAACAACAACAACAACAACAACAACAACTACATCAACAACACCAACATCAACACCACCAACATCAACATCAACACCAATACACCAACACCAACACAACAACAACAACAACAACAACAACAACAAGACTCACGAAGATGCCCCTTCCATGAGGCGAAGTGGAGGGCAGTCCAGCCTCTCCTGTCCGCCAGGGAGGCGCTAGCTCCGGCCCCTAGAAGCATCTGCACGATCTCCACGTGGCCCATCCGGGCCCCTAGCACGAGAGCCTGCTCGCAGGAAAACGGTGTGCGGCGGTAGGGTGCTCTTGTGTATTTGCATGCCTTAGCGCTTAGACCAGTCGTCCTCGGAAGGGGACGGAGCATTGTTTACCACAGGACCGATCACCGACGGCCAATCGTTCCTTCCTACTCTGCCAAAGGTGGCTAGAAAAGGTTCTCCCAGAGGAGGGTGTAATCATGAAAACGCACATGCCGTAGTCGGTAGACAATAGACCTCGTACCCCTACAAACGAGAGGGGGAATAAACGATACCGCCGTGTGAGAGACAACAAAAGATGTAGGGACACGGGCAGGAGAATACGAGGCCCTTGCGGGTGGCTTTGGAGTGTATGTAGTCTGCTGTGAAGGGTGGCACCGGTGCATACATCCTGCTTGCACGTATGTGCTGCAAGCCTCGCCCACATCTCACGGGGAGGCGCGCCGCTGCTCGTGTGCGGCATCCCCACGGGGGGCATCAACTTCACCGACCTCCGAGTACACCTTGACCAATCAGATGCCGCCGCCGGTGGTGGTGGTGACACAACAAGCTACACGCTCCGTTCTAAGCAGAAAAAAACAAAAAAACTCCCTTCAAACTTGCAAACGTGGGTAGGCATGTTTGGATGGCCGGATTTGAAGTTTGGTCGAGAACGAATACCCGGAGAGTGGTCGCTACGTCATCAAGTTTCCCGTCTCGCAAAAAAACTGGATACCAGCGTGTCATTTAACGATGTTGTGGGGTCTTCGAGCAACTGATGATCAAACGTTTCAAAACACGGTCGTGGGCCCAGTACAAGAGGGTGCCTTTACAATAAGAGCGGGGCCGACATTAGAGGTCGAGAGCCTTTGTCACACTACCGTCTTAAATCTGTCAAAGAAAACCGTGTCATGCTAAGAAGAGGCTAAACGAGCGGCGGGACTCCCACCGTCTTCCCGCTCTGTGGCACCGTCGCATCGAGGTCGATCTTGCCGATCCCTCTTTTTCTTCTCTTGGTAATGGTGGTGCTGCTGCTGCTGAGCAGCTCTCTTAGCGCGGCCGTCAGCCCGTTAGCGGCAGCTCGCTGGATCGGGAGGTAGCCCTTGGGATCTGGAAAAAACAACAAACGGAACGGGGAGCGAGAATCGAGCGCGCGCGCGCGTGTGTGTGTATGTTTTGTTGTTAGCATCGACCGCGTTAACCGGTTGACCAATGAAAATTCGTTCGTGTCAGTGCGGCTCAAAAACAGACGGCGCCGCGAGACCAGGTGTGGATCGGGGTGCGTACGCAGGTGCCCCACGCTCCCTTGCTGGCAACCGATACCACTCGCTCTTCCGATCATCCTTACATACATTATTGGTGCTCCTCTTACAACAAAGGCCAATTTCTCCCTCCTTCACGACGACTTCCATTACCGTTATTTTCTCTTCCCTCGGTGTCGCACCGGCACCGATCTCCACAAACTCAAGCGCTCTTTTTCGCACGGCGAAACCACCTCACTTCTTCACTGTCGACTTCGATCAAACGTCTCGCAAACAGGTAAGTGTGTACAATGCGAGCTGCAGTGCTGTGTTGCGGTTAATTGGGCTCGCAGGACTCTTTCCGACTGCGTGCAGTAGTGGTGTTCCCTTATTCTTGGTGGGTGAAAGGTAAATACATTCGAACGTGGGATCCTATTGCCCCGCCGCCTACGGAAGGAGCCTACGTTGCAAGTCTTCGGGTGTGCCTAAAATATCCGCTGCTACATACACATACCCCGGGAGGGAATCTTCCCGGGGGAGGATTCCCTCTCCTCCCCCCCGTCCTCTCAAGGGCACGTGGTCAATGGTCGAACCGCTAAGGCTTGCAAAACATAAGAGTACGCCCCCACACCCTCGGTGATCGGTCCTGTGGGAATCATGTCGAGAGGACGCGCGGTCAATGGTGCTAAAACAACGAAGGCATGAAAAACAGAAAATAGTTTCTTGAAACGCTCCCTCCCTCACTCACGGATCGGAAGAAGAAGCTGACCCCCTTGTCGCCATTAGGCTGGCTAATCTCCACTAGACTATGCTGACTTAAGTCTCCATTAGGCTAGGCTGACTAGTCTCCATTCTAGTCTCCCGTAGACTGGGCTGACTTAAGTCTCCACAAGACTACGCTGACTAAGTCTCCTTTAGACGAGGCTCACAGGTCTGACTGAGTCTCCACAAGACTACGGCCAAGTTTCCGTTAGACGAAGGCTCACTAGACTAAGTCTCCATTAGACTAGGCGGGTCTCACGGTCTGATTTCGGCTTCTACACCCCCAATCCGAAGAAAAAAGAATAAGAGGAGGAAGGGATCCGCCTCCCAAACAGCGATCTCTACCCGCCAACGGGCCCATTCACCCCGACAAGGCTTGACCGAACCGTCAGGTCCTACAGCAGTAGCGGCAGCGTGAGTTCTCGGTGCCGAAAAACGGGGTAATTCATTTTCATTTTCCTTCGCCGTGACACCAAAAACAAAAAACAACGGGGAAAATGATAGAACCATGCATTCTACATATCTACCCGGAGCGGTGACTCGTCGGAAAATATTTGACCTACCTTTAGATCCGGGGGGAGAAGCGAAGGGGAGAGATGGGGGGGCGGGCCATTTTGTGGCAAGGAAAATATTTGACTACCACGGGGGGAGAATCCAGGGGAAATATTGGGAGGGGGGTGTTTGACGGTAGCCTGTTTTTATGGTCTTCTCCCGGGGGGGGTAAATCAAAGCCTGGACCAATTTTTGTCCCACAATTTTGGGGGAGTGAACGCTACTGAGGCCGGTGGGTGGGCGGAGGGGAGGGGAATGCGGTGTCTCGCCGGCAGCCAGCAGACGACGGTAGGTAGTTCACGAAGCAAGGTTAAGGTCAAGGTTTCTCTCTAAGTAACGAAATCGCCTTTTTTTGGTGTGTCTGCTGGAGCAGAATTGTGCGAGGTCCACCTCGATACCATACGCTCCCGCTGCAAAGTATGTCTGGTACGTATTTGAAGACTACCCATTGGGGGTATTACCCCGTTCGACAGGGATGTGCTCAGTAGACTCTTTCCATTTACAGCAGTTTTTGAGGAATATCTGCTCAACACCGGAACTACTACTTGAGTCTGACGTTTAACGCCTTGTTCACTGAGAAGTCAGCAGTGTGCACGTATTTGCATCCGGTGGAGAAAACTGGACTGCATCTCTCTCGCTGTCGTGTCTTCGTCGATCCAAGGGAAACTGAGATTTCGAAGGATGGACGGATCGCTCTGTCTTCCCAAGGAAGCCCGCCTTGCTGAAGCCACTAGACATTTATTCATTCACTCGTCGGAGCCGACACCACCTCTTTTGGATCGTCATTTCTGCTGGATGGAACGGATTGATGCGCTCGAAAAATGGTGCCTGTCGTGACTCTCGTAAATATATCCAACGTCTCCTCTGCTGCTGTGTGTGCCGCAATACCATGTACAACGTTGACAGGTAGTTGCGCAATTCATCAGCAACTCGGCGGATCGCTCTAAAACCCGTCAGATGTGTGTGTGTATCGTACAATTTTTCCGCTGGGTACGCCAGACCTGCCGTCATCTCGTCAGGTTTACTAACTAGGAAAAATACATCACACAGAAAGACTACTACCCGTTTGAGATACTCGTGCAGTCTAACCTCCAGCAGTAGTTTCCGTCGCCGGACCCAACTGCTGTTACACCACAATATTTTCGCGAAGCTGTCTGGACGCACCGATTGATCGGCAGTAGCCTGACAAAGGGTGAACCTGTGGTTTAATTTACTGTAGACGAGTAATATTTTTAGCGTTTCTGACGTACAAACGATGGGAATCTTAAATCGTTTCTTCCCAAAACCGAACTGTACGCACGATTGTACAGGTACAATCTCTGGGTAAGGGTTACCTGCTGCACAACTTATCCCAACAGTTTATTCGTGGGTACTCGAAGGACAGGCAGAAATCCGAGGCGTGAATAGAGCCAGCCTCTTCCAATCAAAATGAAAGCTAGCCACCAGCAGCAGACTTCGATAACATGACAACATCAAGTCGGATCTACCGCAGCACACAGCTTGAAAGGTGCAAATACTGCTGTAAAAAGTAAGATACCTGTCGTGACACCTTAAAACATTTTTTTTGCCCTTTCTGCTCTGAGTTTGTTTGTGTTTCAGGATCAACTTCTTCGAAACAATTCCAACACGAGAATCCCGACGTCCCCCGCCCCCCAAGGCCACTACGTATCAACGCGCATCACCGGCGATCCATTGGTGTGCTCAGGAAAGCCCCCTCCCCCTCCTCATGTTGCCAGCATGTCTCGAGGTCCGGAGGCACAAAACGACCGAGTGCTACGGTAGCTTGGCTTGGGACCACCACAATAATTGCGCGCCTGAAAAACCTACTCTTCTTACAAGCAGCATCTAGCTATGCTGGAGCATAATGTATGTACACACGCACATACCTCTGCACCCCAGGTTGGCTCCGGCGATCACCAGCTCCCTCACGAGGGTAGGGTTGGGGTTGGGATCCTGCAACAGTATCTCCAGCGGCGTGCCTTCGGGGGTTCGAAGGTTGACCTCGGCCCCCGCCCGCAGGAGCACCCTGGCCACCTCCATGTTGCAGAGCCGAGGGTGGTGGTCGCGGATTTGCAGTAGCAGAACAATTGTGCAACAAGTAGCAGTAGCAGCAGCAGCCGAGATGAAATTGGCACAGCAACAGCTTGACAGACAAGGCGCGAAGCAACATCAACATCGATAGCAGTTATTTTAGTCACCGCGTCACCGCAGCAGCAGGAGCTCGCGCGAGAGGAGTGCCGTTTTGGTACGACCCGTCACGTGCACTGCTGCTGCTGCCCACACGTCTCTCCTGGTGCCATACAGCGAATGTACATACATACCTCAAGGTGACCTCCATCTGCGCATGAAATTGCCAGCGGCGTCCGGAGGTACGGGTCGACCTCATCGGGGTCGTCTCCCTTGGAAAGGCACGCGGCAACGCGGTACAACTTTCCGCGGCTCGCCGCCAGGTGCAGGCTGTCTCCTCGCCTGCTACTCGCCGCCATGCCAATTGCTGGGGCGTCACCGTTAGCAGCAGCAACAGAGGTGGCTTCGTCTTCTCCCATTGTTGTTTTCTTTTCCCCGCTGCTGCGTGTGCACATCCTTTTTTTTTTTTTGCCTATGTGCTGTGTGCGCCTGCGTTATGGTGTTTAGGGTGTTTCCTGCGAACTGTAATTACTTGCCGCTCGTTCCTGTGTCGGGAAACACGGGGTATTTCTCAAAGAAACACCTGTAGGCCTGGCTGACTTGCCTCCTCATGCCACAGCAGCGGCGCAGAGATCCAGAGAAGAAGCCTGGTTGCCTCGCACTGGCAGTCTGGAACTTAGTTTCAGCGCGCTTAGGGGGGGGGGTAGGGGTGCTGCGCCACCCCGCCAACTACGCTGAAACGGTCCGGTCAGCGTCGTCGGCGCACTCGCTCTTTTTCGGGACAGTCTCGGGACTGTCGCGGACGGTGTGTAGAGTGTATAGAGGCTTCCAGTGTTCCGGTTGACGTTGCTGTGGTCTGACACGACTTACCGACAGAGACAAGCAAGACAGACCATGTCTTGGTATATGCATCGTAAGATAGTGAGGTCCGAGGAAGCTTCTAAGACAGAATGATCTTGGTGTGGATCGGGGTCTGTCTGTGTTGGTGGGCACAAAGTAGTACATGCCATCGTGGAGTACTGCTGCAGTATACCGCTGCCGCTCGCCTCTTCTTCTTGCATGTTTAGTGGCAGCATCGATTATCTACACGTCTGCACACCTCACATGATCGCATCCGACTGCATCTATGTGTGTGTGCATCGGACAGCAAAGACATGCGTATGCATACGTAAACTTTTGGGGGAACGGCGAGTTTACATAGATAGATAGGTGTTGCAGGATCATCAGCCCGCGCCAACGAGATGCAACTCAAGAGCGCGGGCTGTCTGCGCGTGCGACCCACGCAGCAGGCCAAACAGAGCTCCTACACACGAACACACGCACAACGCTGCTTCGTAGCACCGAACAGAATCGAACGTTCCAACTCCGGCGTCTACTCCCAACAGGGACTATTGAAAGATTCAATATTAGCCAGTCGATGCTGGAGATATGGCAAAGAGGCAACGCTCCGCGCCCCCTGAGAGCGAACTCCCCATGGCGGTGCTTGCGGCGAAGGACGCAACACAGCAGCACAGCAAGCAGTACAGTAGTAGTAAGGACGGAACCTGTAGAGATTCTCCCGAAAAGATCAGAAAAGATCTTTGCGCTTACTACGCATGCATTGCACAACAACAGCGGCCGTAGCACCGCGCCTTGCCTACACCTGTAAGTACACCAAAATGTCGGCAGCAGTATCCTCATTGGGACAGACACGCAGATGGATACATACACAACTTCACGGCCTGAAAGAGCCGGGCCGGCGGGGTATCACCTTTCACGCACGTCTGCATGTTTCGTGCCTGCATTTAGGGATTTGTACTGCATGCTGTGTACGGGCTGCACAACAGCAGCAGCAGCAGCAGCAGCAGCGGCAGCAGCTGTCTGCAATGCGCGGAGAAAAGCAAAGAAAGAAGTGCCTATTTATACCAAGAATACCACCCGCCGGAAATCCAGCAACTAACTGCTGTCATCTACATACCCTGCCAATGGAACAACGGCACAACTCTTGTGTGTACGCGACCTTCGTTGGACTGTATGTCTCGAATGGGTAGTCTTTCTGTGTGCATTTATTATTCCTTAATTCTTTCTCTGTTTCTCTCGGAACACCGCGAGCAACATGCAGCCACCACGTGGTTGTCGCTGGCAAGGCCCTTCACCTACAGCAGTAGTGACGCGATACTATCATACACGTGCCAACGGTTATGACGCGTTGATCGATCACAACACGTCACTGTTGCCGTCAAAAAGTTACTGCTGCTGTTGTTACCGTCTACCGGTACCTTGCTTGTCTTTGAACTCACACAAAATCGACAATAACTTGCCGCCAAAACGAAGGAAGAATTGAGTCCAGCCAGCAGTGTTTCGGCTGAAGATTATAGCGGTCGCGGTTCATGGCACATCATCCTGCCGAACAGCCCTCCGTAGACTCTACGATTTGACAAGCACCGCCTCTTTCTGGCGGAATGCGGCGGCAAGCCAACATCCTCACTCCCCTTTCCAAGGCTGATCGTCGCCCATTCGCATGAGGTCATTTCTCAGGTTCAGCAGCTTCTCGGAAATCACCTGTAGTTGTCGATTATCGACACCCACCCGCGCGCGAACAGCAGTGCACGGACCAACAGCGAAGACATCAAGCACAAGTTTTCGAGCTTCACAAATTGCGGGTTTCATGGCATGTGTGCCAGGTAGGACAGCCGTAATAGCACCTGGGGGTGACTCGGTCGACATCCTCTGCCACATGTCGCGGAGTCCAATAACTCGATGCTGTCAAATGCTGCTGTGGACTTGATAAATAGAGTGTTTTCTACAGGCACGTTACTCCATGAGAGTGAGGGGAGCGGGAAGTTGTTGAAAATATCCACCCAAACTTGCAAGTTTCTCGCGACACGGCCTCGCTCCGCCTTTGCAGAAAAAGAAAACGTCCCAAACCCTAATCTTGACGGCGATGCAGTACGGCCAGAAAGAAGGGTTTTTCCGGAGTGCCTCTCACGAATGCATCACTGGAGAGGCATCGACCAGAACACCCAAGCAACAACAATCGCAGGAGAGATTAAGAGAACACAAACTAAGCGCCAACAAGCCCTGGCGTGTTTTCCTAGAACTCTTCAGCTGTCGCGGTGCCACCGGGACGGCCAGTCGAGCACCGGAAACTACGGGTTTAAAAGTATGAGTCTCGAACCCACGACGAACTTTAAAAGAAGCTGCAATCACACAATTGGAGTAGTCAGCGCTGACTAATCGAATGGCGCGATTACGGCTTCTACAGTTCCTACTACGACAAAGGCAGCAGTAGCTGGCCTTGACAAGAGTTGGCACAAGAGGACTGACGGGAACAGACCGGTTGACAACACGGCAGCAGCGGCGAGGGAATGAATGAATCAAACGGAGACAGCACGAGCCACCACCACCAGCGTGTACAGTCATAAACCCCACCTTAAGAGCCGTGACCACCACCTCCTCCGCAGATATCGACCCGTTCGTCTCCACTGCTCGCAACAGTGCAGCGCGAGGTACACGTTTTGTACGCAGTCAGAAGGCCAGAAAACAACGGTCGGTAAGACTGCCCGAAGGGTCAGTTAGTCAATATTTCGCAACAAGCAAGTTCGTTCGAAGCGAAAGGGGCGAGGCCCCCTCCTCCCCCCCCCCCCCCCAACT